AATGACTAAAAAAACAATCTCAGAAAGTTCTGAACTTCATTAGCCATTTGGGGAAATGCAAATTAAAATCATACCACTACACATCTCCAAGGAACCCTGGTGGTGCAGTGGTTAAAATGCTTGGCTGCTAACCAGAGGTCAGTGGCTCAGAAGGAGAAAGATGTGGCAGAATGCTTCCATAAATAGTACAGCCTTGGAAACCCTATGGGGCAGCTCTACTCTGTCCTGTAGGGTCGCTATGTGTCAGAACCGACTCAACAGCAACTAGTTTGGTTTTTGTTTTTTGTTTATACATCTCCAAAATGGTTAAGATGAAAAAGGCAAAAAAGATACTAACTGGTACAACCATTTCTGAAAACCCTCTGACATTTTCTACTAAAGCTAAACATATGCATAATTTATGGTCCAGCAATTCTATTCCTAGTATAACCTAGAGCGTTAAGCGTAAACTCAAGAGAAATGGGTAAGTCAGAATTGACTTGATGGCAGCAGGTGTGGTTTTTTTTTTTGGTTACCAAATACACACAAGAATATTAATAGCACCTTTTTCATAATAGTCAAAACCTGCAAATTACTCAAATTCTCAACAATAGAATGGGTAAATTGTGGTATATTCATACAACAGAGTATTATACAGCAATAAGAATTAATGAACTATAATCACATGCAATAATATGGCTGAATCCCACAAACATATTATTAGCAAAAGAAGCTAAACACAAAAGAATACATGCCGTAGATCCCATTTATATAGAGCGCAAAAACAGACAAAATTAATCAATGGTGCAAGAAGTCACACTTTTGAGGGTAGGGTTGGGAGGCAGTGATTGGGAGGGAGCACAAGGAGGATATGGGATACTGGTAATTTTCTATTTACTGATTTAGGTGCTGGTTACACAAGTGTGTTCAGTATGTGAAAATTCAATGAGTTGCACATATGATTTATGTACTCTTCTGAATGCATGTTATACTTTAGTAAAAAAATTTCTTTAAAGGATTATTCTTGCCTTAAATTGGCAAATAAATTGAGAAAAGACTATAAGCAAGAAATGTTAGGAGGTTATTCTGGTAAAATGTATTTATAGGAAATAAACAGATTATTTTAAGAACTAGAATATTAGTAATAAATTAAAAGAAATAGATGGTTTTGAAAGATATTCAGTAGGCAGGTACAGCAGAACTCTTTAAATGCCTGGGTTGAAGAAAAAGTGTCATGATGACTTTCAGGCTTCCTGGGAGTCTGGTAAGAGAGTGGTGCTCTTAAGATGGAATTCAGATGGAGATGTCCAGTTGATAAATCCTAAATGCCTTAATATGGAGCTCTCAAATGGAGTCATTAACACACAAATGTTAATAAAGATGTTAATAAAGTCAGAGGAGCATAATTTCATCTAGAAAGAAAAATCAGAATAAGAAAAGAAGGCTAGGTAAAGAGAAAACAACCAGAAGTCTTAAAAGCCCTTTCTATAGACAAATGGTTCTCAAAGACTACTCTGGGGACTAGTGGGTGGGTCTCCAGGATAATTTCAGGAGTTTCACAAAATCAAAACTACCTTCATAATACTACTTTAGTGGCCTGGTTTACGCATTCTCTCATGAATGTACAGTGGATTTTTCCAGAAGTCACATGACGTGTAGTATTAACAGAGTGAATACAGAAAACCAAAAACCCAAACCAACTGTAATTGAGTCAATTCCAACTCATGGTGATCTCATGTGCTACAGAGCAGAACTGCTCCACAGAGTTTTCTTTAGCTGTTATCTTTATGGAAGCAGATCGCCAGGCCTTTCTTCCATGGCACATCTGGGTGGATTTGAGCCACCAACCTTTGGGTTAGTAGTCAAGTACAAACCATCTGGGCCAGAAGCAGACAGAAAAATCTAGCCATCTTCTATTAAGCCAGACATTAGAAATTTGGAAGAATATGTAAAACACTGTCACTCTCTCACAAATATTTTTGCTTTGGAAAATAGTTATTTTTCATAAAAATAAGCATTGGATTCGTTACTGTCATTGTTAATTGAGTTAATAAATATTTTTTAAATTTCTCAATTTAATTTCTAATATGGTAACAACTGAAAAATATAATCCACATAAACAAAAGCTTTCTGGGGTCCTTAAATACAGTACAAAAATGTCCGAAAACCAAGAAGTTTGGGAAACACTGCTATAGACCAATTTCTTCTGAGCCTAGCTAAAACTGTATTCACTTCAGATTGAAATGTACAAGGAAAGTCTATAAAACCAGTTTAGTCTCACTATTCAGAGACTGAGATAACTAACTCCATACTCCAACTCCTTCAGCAGATACTTTTAAATCCCAGAGACACAGAATAATCAAAGCCTGTGACTTTCAATCAAGGAAAAAATATAAGAAATAGCTATGTGAAAGTTTATATGCAAAACTACTATTAAAGACATTACCCACCTTTTAAAAAACTTCCTATCCTAAAGGCTCACGTAATAAAATTAGTTGCTTTTTTAAGATCATCTACAGCAAAGTCTTGGGAATCAACATTTAAGGGACAGGTAAAATACGAAGATCCTTTATATAAAACTGAAGGGCTTGACCAGGAAGAGAGAAAACCTAAAGAGAGCAACAGAATGGAAGCCAAGGGAAGGGAGTGTTTCAAGAAGACAGGAGCTCTCGGGTATATCAAATGCTGCACACAGGTCATGTAAGACAGAGATGAGTATGTAGTATGTCTCCATTTATTTAAAAAGAGGAGGTTATAGTGACCTTGAAAAGCAGTTTTACTGGAGAGATGGGTCAGAAGCCAAATTGCAAAAGACTCAGTAACAATGAGGTGAAAAAGTTGAGAGAACAAGGTTGACAACTTTTTCAAGAAATGTAGTAATAAAGGGTGAGAACAGGGTAATAGCCAACAGGGAATATGAGGACAAGAGAAAATGTATCTAGATGGACAATAAACATACAGAAGACAATGGGTAACAAATGAACAAGACTGCTGAGAAGACAGGAAGTAATCAGATCTAGATGTTGTTATTAGTTGCTGTCGAGTCTACTCAGACTCATGACAACTCCATGTGTGCAGAGTAAAACTGCTCCATAGGGTTTTCAAGGCTGTGACCTTTCAGAAGCAGATCGCCTGTCCTGTCCTCTGAGGCGCCTCTGGGTGGGTTCGAACTACCAACCTTTCTGCTAGTAGTTGAGCGCTTAACCTCGTGCCACCCAGGGACTGTGAAGGAGATAGCAAGAAGAAATGAAGCGCTAGGAGACTTAAAAACAGGGTTTAAAATAACTACAGTGGAGACAAAGAGAACTGACCTAGGCTTTTCTGAACTTTTTAAATCTTAAACGATTAACATACATTATTGTAACGGGAATGGGGAATTTTTATTTTTAAAGGCAAGGAAGTATCCATTTCAGAATGGCTTTACCATTAAAATAAACAGAAAGACTGTCCGGTGTTTGAAAAGTTAATCCCTCAGCTTTTAAAACACCTCTCTAACCTTAAAACAGTCACAGTTTTCTTATATTTTATTTCAGTATATTAATCAGCTACAACGGGACATTATAGCTGCCTTTACTGCTGTTTTGTAGAAATTAGATTGACTCATGAAATCCCAAGGGAGATGTGTGTGTGTGTGTGCGCGTGTGTGCGTGTGTGTGCGTGTGCATGTGTGTGTGTGTGTGTGTATACATAAACTATTTGCAGTGACAAGAGAAGTTTCCTATTCATTATCAGAAGCCATTATCAGAAGCAACTTTTTAACAGACAGCACTGTCCAAAGACGAAATGGATTTCCTTAAAAGCAGTGATGTTCCAATTACTGGAAAGTCATTTATGGTACTTTTCAAGTCTTATTCTATAAGTCTTAACAGATCTTTCTTAAATATAGTAGTAAACATTTTAGAGTTGCAAGCTCTCAGATCTCTATCAGAAATACTCAACTTAGTCCCTGTAGCTCAAAAGCAGCACAGACAATATATAAATAAATGGGCATGGCTGTGTTCCAATACAACTTTATTTGCAGAAACAGGTGGCTGAGCCACAGAATGTAAATTACTGATCCCTGGTCTAGCATCTCAGCTTACTGCTGAGGAAGTTTCTTAAATTCTTGAACTCTTTTGTTTAGTTTTGTCACCTGTAAATAGAGTAATGAAGTCCCTAAGTGGTGCAAACTATTAACGTGCTTGGCTGCTAACCAAAAGATTAAAAGTTCGAGTTTACCCAGAGGTACCCCGGAAGAAAGGGGCCTGGCGATCTACTTCCAAAAAATCAGCCAATGAAAACTCTATGGAGCACACTTCTACTCTGACACACTGGCAATCATAGTAAATATAAAAACTACTGAATTATTGAATAATTACATAAATTATATTAAAACATCCAGCACACTCAATGCACTCAGTAAACGTTGAGTTTCCTTTCTCTATATCTGGTAGCAGAAGGCTATGGTGCTAACTTTCCAAAAGGTCACAGAGATGAAGAAGAGAGAACATTCATGGTGTGGAAAATAAATGCTTATTAAGACAATGACTCCAGGATTTTGCTAATTTTTCATGAATAAATCCAGCATCTCAATTATCATGTGATTTCAATTTCTTCTGAAAGATGAACGTCAACAATTTCTTGGAAACAGTTTTCCTAGTTCTTAAGGTTTAAAAATCTCACTTTTAATACATATGTAATACAACAAGCATAAATTTTAGATTTATTTTTTTTAAACCCTTGATATTGAGAAATTTAAGACGTTTACCAAAGTAATAAAATCTCAACGGACTGTGAAACTTCAGAATAAAGTCTAAAAAAAAAAAAGGATAGAGAAGCTGAAAACAGTACAAACAGCTTTCTCTACCTTTGTATTGTTACTGTATGCCAGTTTCTGCCTTATAACCCAGTACAGCAGAAACAAGTCAAAAAGATGGTCCTGAAACAATAGGGAGATCACAATTGAAAGGTGTTTTGAAGCCCACAAAAAGTGTACAATAGTCAAGAACTGACTATATAAACAAAAGATTTTTGAAACTCACCATCTCTATTAGTTTCCCATTCTACATTCTCTTCTTCACTTTCTGGAGTTCTCTCCTTAGTGATTTTTATGTCTTCCTTTTCCCTGTGTCTCCCTCTTGAAGATTCTTTCTAAAAAGTATATACATACATACAGATTACTATATTTTTAAAACCTTTATGAGGTAGTTACTAAATATACAACATTTTTAACTTCATTCATCTCCATTTCGTCAAAACTCAGGTCAGTCATTTACCCATTAAGCAGAGGAAGCAACGTGTTCTATTACAGCATCACAGTGAAAAGACTTTTCTACATTCATTTTAGTAATGAACTTGGTAAAATGTAAGCAGTAGTTAAGACTTAAAAACATGTAATGCAAATCTAATGCTTTAATAAGTTGAGATTCTACTACATTAAAAGTTCCTAAGTGAAGATCACTGGGGAAAAGACAGTTTGAAAATGGATAAAGTATAACGAAAAGATTTATAAGTAATCATATTAAAAAATGACCAAAAAAAGGAGTAACTATCCACAGCAGACTCAAAAACAATTGTTGATCTAAGACTGTTTATAATCTAAAACAATAGCATTTACTTACATACATAAGGATAGATCCAAAAATTGAAGAATTTTATTAATGCTTTAAAAAGAGATTGCCTTTATTTTGATGAAACCAAAATAGCAGGTAAACTAGTTAGTAAATTATTACTTAATATTGCAGCTTAAAAACCAGAAGGTTTTACATTGCTAACTGAAAGGTCGGCGTTCAAATGCACCAGACACTCCATGGGAGAAAGATGCGCCAGTCTGCTTCCTTAAAGATTAACAACAACCAAAAAAAAACACTGCTTCCATTCAGACTCATAGCGACTGTAAAGGGCAGAGCAGAACTGCCTCATAGGGTTTCCAAGGCTGTAATCTTTACTGAAGCAAGACTGCCACATCTTCCTCCCAAAGAGCGGCTGGTGGCTTTGACCTGCTGCTCTTTCGATTAGCTACAAAGCACCTTAAGCACCACATCACCAGGGCTCCTCCTCTAAAGATTACAGCCTTGGAAATCATATGGGGTTGGAAATCATATGGGGGAGTTTTACTCAGTCCTATAAACCCACTGCTGTCCAGCTGCTTCCGACTCATAGTGACGCTACAGGACAGAGTTTCCAAGGAGCACCTGGTGGATTCGAACTGCTGACCTTTTGGCTAGCAGTCGTAGCTCTTAACCACTATGCCACCAGGGTTTCCACTCAGTCCTACACTGTCACTATAAGCTAGAATCTACCTGACAGCAACAAGTTTGGTTTTTGTTTTTTCTTTTTTCCCCTTTTTTAAGTAAAAATAGTCTACAGAAAAAATAGGACAACAGTGATTCAGTTGATAAAATTTAAGTAAACATCCTATCACATGAGAAACTGCAAACTACATTTTACTGGGTGCTAAGAATATAAAGTAACCAGTGTCACATAAATGTTACCATCCCATCACAGTATAATTCTCACACTTACTAACACTCTAAATCCTGACTATGAAAGACACAAACCCACAAGGAGATTAACTGCTCAGAGTTCTTTCTGGGCATTACCAAACATAAAGCATAGTTGCTGAAAACACAAATTAATTTTCTTGCAAATTTTCTTTTTAAAGAACTCTAGTACATATTACCACCTCTTATCTGTCAATTTCTCCTACTGTGGTGGCTTGCATGTTGTTGTGATGCTAGAAGCTGTGCCACAGGTATTTCAAATATCAGCAGGGTCACATATGGTGGACAAATTACAGTGGAACTTCCAGACCAAGACAGACTGGGAAAAATGATCTGACAATCTACTTCTGAAAAAACTAGTCAATAAAACATTACAGACAGCAGCGGAACATTGTCTGATATAGTGTGTGAAGATGAGCCCCTCAGGCTGGAAGGCACTCAAAATATGAGTGGGGAAGAGCTGCCTCCTCAAAGCAGATCGAACTTAATGACGTGGACAGAGTCAAGCTTACGAGACCTTCACTTGCTGATGTGGCATGACTTAAAATAAGAAGAAACGGCTGCAAACATCCACTAATAATCAGAAGACAGTATGTATGAAGTACAAATCTGATAAAATTGAAAGTTGTCAAAAATGAAATGCAACACTTAAAGATGGATATCCTAGGCATTAGTGAGCTGAAGTGGACTGGTATTGGCCATTCTGAGTTGGAGAATCGTATGATCTACTATGCTGGGAATGACAAAGAGGAATGGCATCACATTCATCATCAGAAAGAACATTTCAAGATCTGTCCTAAGGTGTAACACTGTCAGTGATAGGATAATACCCATGTGCCTACAAGGAAGGCCAGTTAATACAACTATTATTCAAATTTACACATCAACCACTAATGCCAAAGATGAAGAAATTTAAGATTTTTAGCAACTTCTGCAGTCTGAAATTGATCAAACATGCAATCGAGATGCATTGATAACCACTAATGATTGAAATGCAAAAGTTGGAAACAAAGAAAAAGGATCAGTAGTTGGAAAATACAGCTTTGGTGACGAGAAACCATGCCGGAGATCGCATGACTGAATTTTGCAAGACCGAAGACATTCACTGCAAAAACCTTTTCTAAACAACATAGCTAACTATACACATGGACCTCGTTGATAGAATACACAGGAATCAAATTGACTACATTGGTGGAAAGAGACACGGATGTGGCACAACGATACCATCAGCCAGAACAAGGCCGGGGCCGACTGCAGAACAGACCATCAATTGCTCATATGCAAGTTAAAGTTGAAGCTGAAGATAATTAAAACAAGTCCATGAGAGCTAAAGAACAATCCTGAGTATATCCTAGCTGAATTTAGAGACCATCTGAATAGATTTGACACACTGAACACTAATGAACGAAGACTAGACAAGTTGTGGGATGACATCAAGGACATCATACATAAAGAAAGCAAGGGGTCATTAAAAAGACAGGAAAAAAAGAAAAAACCAAAATGGATGTCAGAAGAGACTATGAAACTGGCTCCTGAATGCAGAGTAGCTAAAGCAAAAGGAAGATACGATGAAGTAAAAGAGTTCAACAGAAGATTTCAAAGAATGGCCTGAGAAAACAAAGTAAAGTATTACAATGAAATGTGCAAAGACTTAGAGTTAGAAAACCAAAAGGGAAAAACACACTCAGCATTTCTCAAGTTGAAAGAACTGAAGAAAAAATTAAAGCCTCGAGCTGCAATTCTGAAGGATTCTATGTGCAAAAAATTGAATGATTTAATGATGCAGGAAGGAATCAAAGGAAGATGGAAGGAATATGTGGAGTTGCTATACCAAAAAAGAATTGGTCAATGTTCAACCATTTCAGGAGACAGCAGACAATCAAGAACCAACAGTACTGAAGGAAGAAGTCCAAGCTGCACTAAAAGCAATGGCGAAAAACAAGGCTCCAGGAATTGATAGACTACCAATTGAGATGTTTCAACAAACGGACACAGTGCTGGAAGTGCTCACTCATCCATGCCAAGAGATTTGGAAGACAGCTCCCTGGCCAACTGCCTGGAAAAGATCCATATTCATGCCCATTCTAAAGAAAGGTGATCCAATAGAATGCGGAAATTATCGAACAATATCATTAACATCACACATGAGTAACATGTTGCTAAAGATCATTCAAAAATGGCTGCAGCAGTACAGGGAACTGCCAGTAACCAAGCTGGATTCAGAAGAGGATGTGGAATGAGGAATATCACTACTGATGTCAAACAGATCTTGGCTGAAAGCAGAGAATACCAGAAAGATGTTTACCTGTATTTTACTGACTATGCAAAGGCATTCAACTTTATCTGTAGATCATTACAAATTATGGATAACACTGCAAAACACAGGAATTCCAGAACACTTAATTGTGTTCATACGGAACCTGTACATAAACCAAGAGGCAGTTTTTCAAACAGAAGAAGGTGATACTATGTGGTTTAAGTCAGGAAAGGTATGTGTCAGAGTTGTATCTTTTCACTATACGCATTCAATCTGTATGCTGAGCAAATAATCCGAGAAGCTGGACTATATGAAGAAGAACACAGCAGCAGGATTGGAGGAAGACTCATTAACAACCTGCAATATGCAGATGACACAATCTTGCTTGCTGAAAGTGAAGAAGACTTGAAGCACTTACTAATGAAGATCAAAGACTATAGCTTTCGGTATAGATTGCACCTCAACATAAAACAGAAATCCTGATAACTGGACCAATAAGTAACATCATGATAAACAGAAAAAGGATTGAAGCTGTCAAGGATTTCATTTTATTTTGGATCCACAATCAATGTCCATGGAAGCAGCAGTCAAGAAATCAAATGACAAACTTCCGGGCAACATGGCGCTATAGTCAGAAGCACCACGCCATCCCTCCACAGCCAAGATCAGAAAAACAAAGTCAAACAGAGTCACACGTCAATCCTGAAACCCTAAACATCAAATGAAGAGATAAAGAACTCAGCCAAGCATCAAACAGAATAAGAAACTGACTGAGAACAGAGAACTAGGAGAGATATATGCAGAAGTCCCCTATCAGCTACCACAGCACGGAACCGCCATCTTGGACGCCTATCAGAGATCAGCGAACAGGGGGTACGAGAATGCAGCTTCATGAAGCTTCCAGCAGGAGACAGAACAAGCGGTAACCAGCAATATAAGCTTTCCCACCCCCCACCCTTCTTCACCCCCACTTAGCCTCCTCTGCTTCCTGCAGCCACAGTCTCTTGGCTGGGAAGCACCAGCTTCATCCCAGTGTTGCTTGGATTCCACCTGCCTGCACTGGCCAGTTCCCTGAGCGCCTTTTGTTGGCTGCTGGTGTTGCTTTTTTCCGCATCTTTAGATTTCTTCCTTACCTCTCACCACCACCCCCTCCTTTCTCTCAAATACCTGGCTCTGTGCGTCATCTTTGCTTCTTCCTAAAAGCTGCGAAACACCGCTTGACTGTGAAACTGCTTCCTGGCCTGTGCTGCCACACTGTGGGACCCCCGGGGCTTTTTTTGTTCAGTTGTTTGCTCTGTTTTGTTCTGTTTTGATTTGTTTGTTTTTTTCTCTTCTCGGCTTGGGAGCCCCTTCTAGCTGGGCAGTACCGCACAGGTTAGAAGCTACTCACT